TAGAGATCTTTCTAGAAGCTCATGTCACTTCCTTTCCTAAACCCTCCCAATGACACCCACGTTTGGATATTCTGAGCTCCTTGCGTGGGCTCACAACACAATACTGTGTCTGCCAAGCCACTCTGCTCAACCTGGGGTGCTTTTCTTATAAGGCACCCTGCTCTGCATATTACCTTCCTAATAGAGCCAGTGTAAGTGAGAATGTTCTTCGGATGACCCATCGCTGCGCTTGTCCACAGGCACCATCAAGGGAAAATCTCTCCGTCTACACCAGCCCACTATAAATTTTCCACTGACAGACTATCCACCGGTCTGGCAGTCATTTGAAAGGCCTTTCTGTGGATTGTGGACTCCCCCTTAGGAGAGCAATGGAGGTGGCTGTCATTCTCTGTTCTCTGACCTAATGCAAGGATGCACTGCAGCGGGATTATACGGGTTGTGTAATTGAATGATGAACAGTTAGAAGCAACAGGATGCCCAGAACAACTCTGTCCATTCTAAAGAATAAGGCTGGCAGTTCATGAAGCATTACTGACATACCCAACTATCAGGGCATTATACTGAGCAAAAAAAAAAAAAAAAAAAAAACACACCCCCCTTGACTAGTTGCCTTGTATATCAATTTGAATTCAAGTTACAGCATGAGAACGCATGTTGCCAAGGGTTAAGGAGGAGGTGAGGTGGGAAGGAAGCAGATGTCACTATAGAATGGCAACTTTTATAGAAATCTTTGCCCCAACGGAGACATTCTGTAACTTGCCAACGTCAATGTTAACAGCCGAGCTGTAACATTGGACTATGGTTTTGTAAGACGTCAACACTGGTAAAAAGATAATAACAGGTACCTGGGAACTATATGTTAATCTACAGTGATCTCAAAATAAAAAGTTTAATTAAGAAAAAAACAAAAGAAAGAAAGAAGGGAATTTCAAGGTGACCCAGCCAAAGTCAACACGATGCACAAGTTGGGGCTTGATGACATCATACCACTTGATGACATCATAGCCACTCTATGGGAGTCTCTGTCCATCGGGTCTCTGGAGGGCACAGGGCATAGCTCCTCACGGGGGTTCATACAGCCGGGTGTCTTGGATGCTTCCAGAACGTACCCGAACGACCCCAAGTTTTGCACCTAACGTGCCGGGTGCAGAAATGACACAACCCTGCTGGCCACAGGTGACCCTGGCTCTTTGTCCCCCTGCAGTCAGACCACACCTGGACAAATGTCGGTGACCTTGAGACGCACGATCTGCTCGAGTGACCTCCTCACCTGGGCAGAAGCTTGGCAGGCACCGGCCGAGTCCCATCCCGACTCCAGAAAGGGAGGCCACTGCATGTCACACGCGGCAGTGACAGGCTGCCCGGGTCAGGGCGACGCGCGTCCCTGCTCCCGTTGCGGTGGGGGTGGGGGGTTCCTGCTAGGGTCTCGCAAGGGCCGGGGACCCACCTGGATGAGCTGAGCGGCGCTCTCCGGGCTGCCGTGGCGCAGGTCGTGCCCGTTGATGGCCAGCACGTGCGTAAGATTACCACGCCCGGCCATGTCTTTCGATTATCATCCTCCATGAAACCTGGGACAGTGTTCAGTGTCTGCAGACTCACTGCCTATTCTCAAAGTAGCAATGCGGCGTGTAGGATAAATGGGAATGCTTCTTAAGACAAGGCCTCGAATCTTGCCCCCCTCTCTCTCCTATTAGCTCTCCAACTGCCTGTAGAGATCTTTCTAGAAGCTCATGTCACTTCCTTTCCTAAACCCTCCCAATGACACCCCACGCTTTGGGGATACATTCTGAGCTCCTTGGCGTGGCTCACAACACATACTGTGACTCTGCCAAGCCACTCTTGTCACCCTGGGGGTGCTTTTTTCTCTATTAAGGCACCCCATGCTCTAGCAATTACCCCTTTCCCTAATGGCCAGTAGTGAAATGTTCTCCTGCGGATGACCTCGCTGCGCTTGGCTCCACAGGCACCATCCAAGCGAAAAATCTCTCCGTCTACACCAGCACCATACTTAAAATTTATCCACTGCAAGACTATCACACCGTCTGGCAGTCATTTAAAGGCTCTTTCTGGGATTGTGACTCCCTTAGGAGAGCAATGGAGGTGGCTGTCATCTCTGTTCTCTGCACCTAATGCAAGGCCCATGTATGCAGCGGAAACTTCATACGTGTTTGCTAATTGAAGTGCATGAAAGTTAAACAACAGGAGTGCCCAGAACAAACTCTGTCTCTCTAAAGAATAAGGCTGGCAGTTCATGAAGCATTACTGACATACACAACTATCAGGGCATTATACTGAGCCTAAAAAAAAAAAAAAAAAAAAAAAAACCACCAAACCAAAAACCTATGCGGCTAGAGTGCTGTGGCATCAGCCTAGTTCACAGCAACCTCAGACTCCTGGGCTCAAGTGATCCTCCTGCCTCAGCCTCCCGAGTAGCTGGGACTACAGGCATACACCACCATGCCCGGCTAGTTTTTTTCTCTCTATACATTAGTTGGCCAATTAATTTCTTTCTATTTATAGTAGAGATGGGGTCTCGCTCTTGCTCAGGCTGGTTTCGAACTCCCGACCTTGAGCAATCCTCCCGCCTCGGCCTCCCAGAGTGCTAGGATGACAGGCGTGAGCCACCGCGCCCGGCCGCCAAACTTATTTTTTAGCTGATAGGAGTAGAGGGAAGGAAGAAAAGGTAGGAAAAAGCAAGAGGAAGGAAAGAATGTTTCTCATGTGAATGAGTCGAATGATTAAACAGCTGTTCAAACCGAGCTGAGTCAACAATTTTCTTTCCAAAAATCTCCAGCAAAGCTTTTCTTCCTGGGCCGCCCCTGTCAGAACTTGTAATCCTCACCACTGTGCGTGTGTGTGTATGGCTCGGTTGAACAGCGTTTACCCATATCGACCATTCACATGAGAACACCTGCATTTCCTTCCGCGTTGCTTTTCCTACCTTTTCTCCTTCACTAAATACTCCTATCCAGCTAAAAATAA